GTGAGGTTTTTCTTTGAGTATTTCCTTGGATGTCTCTTTGGAGTGTTTTTAGAGAATTGCCAAAAAAGGAAATTTTTTAGGAATTTTGAGATTTGCGGGAAAGAGTTTTTTTTTTTTTTTTTCAAAATTGGTTTATTTTTTTATTATATAAAATTATTTTAAAAAATATCTAAAATCTTTAAAAACTTTACATTTAATATAAAAGTTATGTTTTTTAATAAAATTTGATCAAATTTTAAGTTAAATTAATTATTAAATAATTTTTTATACTTAATAAAATAATAATAATTATTATATTATTATTATTATGACTTTTATTTAACAAATATATACATTAAAATAATTTTAATAATTTTTATTATTTCTATTTTATAATATAACTAAAATTAATTATTATTTTTAAAAAAAATTTTTAAATTAAATTTTAAGAAAATTTTATAAAATATTTTAAAAACTTTATTAAAAAAAACACTACTTCTTGAAAATAGAATTGTTTTTAATTTAGAAATAAAAGATACAATTGTTTTGTATAAGTTATATATAGAAATGTTTTTTATATAAAAAAAAATTTTTTTATTTGTCTTCTCTATTTCAAGTTATTGCCTAATACTATTATTAGTTATTAAATCTTTTAATATGAGTTGTTGCTAAAACTTCAGAAACCAATTTTATTTTTGAAACCTTTATTATTCTAAATTAATTCTTTGATTTATATTTCTTTTCTAGAACTTCAAAAAATATTGAACTAATATTGAACTGGTATCAAAATGATATTGATTTATAATAAATTTAATATATGAGTTGTAATTTACTCATATAATTTTATAATAAATTTAATATCAAAGTGATATCAAAGTGGTATCAAAGTAATATTGAAATAATATTATTAGAAGTCTTATCTTTTTTCAAAGGATATATTATATTAAATAAAATTTCTTGAAAGAAAGAAGCTTCCTAAAAAAGTAATTTTTTATAAATGGAAATATTGTAAAAAAGAGTTTATATATATATATATATTTTATTTTTTTTTGATTTTGTATAAAATATATTATATTTATTATATTATAATAAATAAAGATATAAACAAGATTTTATTTAACATTAAAAAATATATATTATTTAAAAATAATATAATATTTGTTTTTAATTAAATAATTAAATAATTGTTTTTTTATAATATTTGATATTTTTTTTTATAAATTATTAAAAAGATTTTATTTCAAGATTATTTTAATAATTATTTATTTTGAAAAAACAATTTCAATAAATCTCAATAATTAAAATAACTTATAAATAACAAGTTAATATAAGTTTTTAAATATTTGAACAATATAGATTTAAAAAATTTTTTCTATAATGTTTTATTTGTTAAGAATAAGTATTATTTTTAATTTTTCATATTTAATTTTTTTTAACTTTTCTAGTTTAAAATAAAACTAATTATATAAAGATACAATAGTAATATTAATAATATTTTAACATATTAGTCCTTGATTTAATACTTTCAAAACGGAATCAATAGCAACAGATTAATATAAAGCTAAAGTTGATATAGTTTAACAAGTTTTAGAATAGTTTATAAATAGTAAATTCTTGTAATATATAAATATATATATGCAATTTAAATAATAAAAACTGTTTAAGCAAAATCCTGCTAGTTGATTTAAAAAAAAAATGTCTTAGAGTAATAGTTTCAAATTATAAATAATATTAAAAATTAGAAAATAGAAAATTTATCAAATTAATAGTCTCACGTGAACATTAACAGGGTATCTAGTTTTCTTTTATTAATTATAAATATTTTTTATTCGTATTCCGCAAGACGCGTTTCTTCCCTATAATGGCTCATAAACCGACAACTGCCATAGAAGAATTTTCAAAATCGTTGGACGAATTAATTTCAGAACTGGATACCATTGAAAAAAGTGGGAACGAAATTTTCAGTAAAATGTTGGTTTTTCTTATTTTTCGACATAATCATCCACCTTCTACTATTCACTTTCGACTTTGTGCCCATAGCGAGAATTCGTTTTCTTATTCATATCCACTATCCTCCGTAACAAGTATTTAAATTTCAAGGCTTTTATTATAACAGGAAAAAAAAATCCAAACATCTTTACTCAACACTTTTTATTATTTATGAATAGATGAATTGAATACCCTTCAAGGAGCAATTCAGCATTTTGAAACGCGTGCGAATTACTTTGGAGTAACAGGTCTTAGTACAGCGCTACTGGAAAAAAGCGATCCAACTTCCAGCAGTAATACACCTGTTAATAGAACAAAAATACAGACGATGATTGAAGAAAAAAAACTTGCCGTAGACGAATTGCTTAAAGAGTCAAAACGTATTGCTGATAATTCGAGAGCCGCTCATTCTGATTAGACGAAATCCGATCAAAATTAAGATATAATTTTACAGAGAACATTGTTTATTAAGATTAGAATATATGTGCATTTTTCAACCGAAAAATTATCTATCAGAGTTTATAATCAAAATAATAAAACAGTAGTTATAATGATACTAATAATAACAAAATTGTACTTCTATGATTAAGTTTTTTAAGAAATAAAAGTAGCTTCGCTGAACAGTTTTCCTTGAGATACGAGTTCTTCATCCTCTCCAATTTTAATATAAGCTGTAGCTGTGTTATACCATTGATAGATATAAGGTTTAGCAACAAAAGCTAATTATTAAAAAAAAAAGAAAAAATTTTTTTAATTAATAAATCAGCAAGATTTAAAACAAAATTAATGTACACTCTTTTCTAATTTGTTTTATACCTTGCACAATCTTTCTCAAAAAATATGGAACCTCATTTAACACATCAATCTTATCCATAAGGACTTCGGGTTTAATTTCCATTCTTACTTTGAATACTTTTTTTGAATCTAGAGTTATTCCTTCCCAAGTGTATCGAATCCTTTCGGGAATGTGATAGCCCGTGCTAGGGTCCAAATTCGTCTTCAGGAAGGCCGCTTCATTCTTTATCGAAACACCTATCAATTTATCCCCCACGAATAAGCTTCCTTGGTTTATCTTCATGCTCCCGTAATGAGGAGTTGTCTCGAATTCACACATCGCCAAAGATGCTAAATCAGACTGGAAATTAAGGAAGTTCCAGCGAGAAGCGATCAAATGTGGTTGCATTCCCTGAATTGCATGCACAAATAACCCAGTTCCAGAGATGTCAAATGCTTTTCCATCGACTACGATGTTGCCTTTGACATTACCTTTGGGCCAAAATTTGTGTTCAACGAATCCAGTAGACTTATCCTTTCCGAAATAAGTCCTTCCACCACCGATTTTGAATCCACGATCTATTCTTTCAAAATCAAACGTAACGAGCAACTCACGATTATGCTTCAAACTGACAGTATACTTATTACACTCAGGGTTAAGAGTAATAGACATATTGTCTGCGGTAGCTGAACGACGATCTGACGAAAGTTTAAAATTGGACATGTTGACGGATTTGAAGGTATTGATTCCTGCACCGAAGAATCGAGCAGTAAATTGGATCGTTGGATTCCATAAACTTATTGCAAATTAAATTTATTAATACATGAAATACGATAAAGAACTAAATTTGGATATATACCTAACAGTCGAGTGAATCATTTGTACGAAGGCGAAATGCCCTTCGTTGGTAGCCAAGTAAAATGTCTGTGTTTCGGTTGAAGAACCAGAAGCCAGTGTCCATTCGAGATCCTTGGGAGTGACATCGGAAAAAAGGTTATTATTGGCTAGGTCACTTGCGATGTGGAGGTTTGGGATGGACATTCTGGTTGTTTAATAATCTATGGATTCGACACGAGCGTTTAAAAAGGAGATACAAGTAACATTTAAATGATTTCGGAGACTTTATATTTTGATGACGTAATAATGCATAAGCGGAAATTATTCCAAATTTGACAGTTTGTGCGTAATGAATATGTCATGTAGACACCAAATCAATCAATATTCATTCTCCGTAAGAAAAGGTGTTTCTATTCAACCATGTCCACATTCTTAAATTATCGAGACAAATTAATTCTCGCTCCGATGGTATGTACTTATAAAGTTAAAAAGTTATTCCAATCATTTCCCCATAAAATATTTTATGCTGGGTTAGGTCCGGATAGGAACCTTGCCTATGAGACTTCTGGCCCTAGAATATGGCGCAGGTTTGCATTTTTATTTTTTTTTTCATTGACAAATATTGAAATTTGTAAATTTAAAATACATTCTTTTATGCAGATTTAGTTTATTCGCCCGAGATGGTAGATAAAAAAATGATTGCGTCCGAGAGAAAATACGATGGTGATTTTTTGACTTTGATGATAATTACTTCAATTAGCGAAAAAAGTGAAATCACATCCTTAAGTAAAATCGATTTCAGAGAGGACAGGGTTAATCTCGTACATAGACCACAAAAATTCGGTGAATTTTCGAACACATCAGAGCGAAAAATCAAAATTAATCTTTCAGATTGGTACAGCTGATCCTGAGCTTGCTCTTAAAGCAGCATTAAAGATGTAGGCAATTTTATTCAATGCTTCTTAATCTCAAAATGACATTTGCTAAAAAATTTCACTATTGTTAGGAAGCAGGATGTGTCGGGCATTGACGTTAATTGCGGTTGCCCGAAAAAATTTTCAATTCAGGGTGGTATGGGGGCAGCTTTGTTATCGAATCCGGACAAGTTGAAGGCCGTAAGTGAGATATAAAACTCAAGACTACATAAGGAGAAATTTTGATTATATACGTAGAGATTTAATATATAGATTTTAACAAACCTGGTGAGAAATTGTGGACTCCCGGTGACTTGCAAAATAAGGTTGGTTCGATGAACTATATAATTTCCATAAAAAGTGAGATCAAAATCTCATATTAATCTATACTTATTATAGAATATTGGAAAACAAGGAGGAAACCATAGAACTTTGCAAAATGATAGAATCCACGGGTGTCAACGCAATCACGGTTCACTGCAGGTACGATTATCAACTGTTTTGTTCGTTGCATGTTTCTCGTGGGACGTTTCTATCTAATCAAATAATAAATACATAAGGACACGCGATGAGAGGCCGAAAGACCCAGGGCATTGGGACATTTTCGCGGATATCGTGAAAAATATTACATCCATTCCAGTCATCGCGAATGGAGATGTATTCCAACGTTCAGATATTGTTAAACTGAAAGAACTTTCGAGTATGATTGAATAATTAAATTGTGTTGGTTATACATACTACCTACTTTACTAATTATTTATTCAACTTTCGTAGACGTGAATTCCATAATGATCGCCCGTGCAGCTCAAAATAACGTTTCAATATTTCGAAAGGAAGGAACATTACCCTTGAAGGAAGTAGTGACTTCCTATATCAAAAAGGTTTGAGGGATTTTCTCCTTCTTCTTATCAATTAGATATCCGTTTAATTATTGCTATTATTTTAGGCGATAGAGACGGAAAACAATTGGGCAAACACCAAATACACTTTAATGCAGATGTACGCGAATCATCCAAAAGATTTGAATCACGAATTATTAACACATGCAAAATCATATGAGGAACTGTGTAAAATTTTTGATCTTGAATCTTATTTACAGAATTTCAGGTGAATTCAAAAATAGCAAAACAATGGAAAAAAAATCATTTTAATTTGACATAACCCAATATATAGAACAGAACTGGGTATTGATAATATTAATCCTATATCATCTTAGAAAAGTAAAGCAAAGCATCCTCGGCAGAGAATCGACGATTGCGATCCCTAACTAGTAGATTTTCTAATAAATTCACATATGGATACATTTGAATTCCCATATTCTTGATTTCCTTTGAATCAAACTTCCAACGTGTAATTTGACTGCACACATTATACATTGGATTGTTTTCATTAAATGGTGTAAAACCAATTATTAAAAAATAGATAACTAAACCAATAGACCACATATCAGAAGTTGTCTCCCAGCGAACGTTGTGTACACCCCCAAGGATCGCAAGACAAATCTCGGGCGCCAAGTATAAGGGCGTCCCCATTATCGACATGTCGTCAACATTATTGTCTTGTAAGTTTGCCATATCTTTTGCAGATCCAAAATCTGATATCTTTATGGTCTGACAGGTCGAATCTTTGAGCAAAATATTATTCGGTTTCAAATCTCTGTGTATTATAAGATTATCATGAAGATACTTCAATCCCCGGAGGAGCTGAAGCGTGATCGGAATGATTTTCTCAAATTCGAGACGACCACTAGATTGGTATCTGGCGTACAGATCTTCTCCCTCCATGTATTCGAGCATCATCACGATACGTGTTTTATCCTGATAAGCAGTATAAATTTTGATTATATTTTCGTGATTTAGTCGTGCAATGATTTCTGGTTCTCTTAGAAGACGATCAATCGCATCTTGTGAATAATTTTCTTTCAGAACAACCTTACAAGCGCTTTTTCTGCCTGTTCTCGAATCTTCGACCAAAAAGACCTTGGCATTCGCACCAGTCCCAAGATCATGACCACATTTCCGATAATTACCAAGCATGGCAGGAATTGTGTATTTATCGGAGTTTGCATGTGCGATGCTTTCATTAAGGACATCACAGAACCTATATTTTATGCAGTTCTCTCCGTCTCCTATCTTAATGATGTCTTTATTATTTAGATACTTCCTCTCGCAATATCCAATAAGAAAGACACCTTCGTTGTTTTCTATGTAAGTTGAAGAATCATATGAGTTATCCTTAATCTCTGTACGATAAACGCCATTCGACTCTACCAGGTTGATTTGACAATGTATGTCCGCGATTTTATAATCATAGTCCTTTACATTAAACTTTATCTGTCCATCTTCACAACAGGAGCTTAGACCTAAGGCAATCGTTGGACGCGCCTTGCTCAGTTCGATGGTCTTTGGCTCAATTGTTGAATCATTCAAAAGGATTAGCCTTGAAATGGGTTCAGCATCTTTCGTAGCTAATGGATTAACGGGTTGCCTGTATACCCTAACGTGATTTTTTAGTTTTCTAAATCCTTTGACCGATTTTAGGGCATTATGTCTTTGGGGTGGCATCTCTGAAATTGAGTGGCAGACCCACAGAAGATTTACACACGGGGTATTCGTTACACAGCATGATAATAACATGAATAACCCTTGAACCCTGAATTGACTTTCACACATTGCTAAAGATTCAACAACTACAATGGTGCGTAAGCCTCAAACGAGAACTCGCAAGAATATCGATATACTAAAACTTTTTCTTTTTTTCATAGCCTTTTACGGAAGAACAAAAAAATGGTACTGTCAAAAATCAGTTAAAATATTTATCAACTTTCCAAATCCTAACAGTCTTTTTCTACAGATTACTACCAGGCTTTTAAATTATATGATCATAAAGGTGATGACACCATTCAACCTGAAATTTTAGGCGACTTGTTACGTGCCCTCGGGCAAAGTCCCACACAGGCTGAAGTAACGGAACTTGCCAAATCCGCAGGAAGTAAAAGTGTGTATGATCGAGTTATTTTTACTAATTTATCGTTTGTACTTAATGTGGTTTATTTGTTCCACAGTAACTTTCGAGAAATTTATTGAAATCCTTGGTCGACCAAATGGATTTGCACCAGCCGGTACATACGAAGAATTTGTTGAAGGCTTTCAAGTTCTTGACAAGGACAGAACTGGTTATATTTCCGCATCTGAATTAAGATATGGTTTGTACTTTGTTTGCATTGAATCTCATGAACCTCATCCTTCATAATATTAATAAATTATGTGGATAGTACTAACAAGTTTGGGTGAAAAACTCACTGATGCTGAAGTTGATGAATTGATGAGCACCTTTGAAATTGACAAGAATGGAAATGTCAGATATGCAGGTCAGAAACTTTTTAAAAGAAATTCCGGATTATTATTTCCAAAAGAAGAAATTAACCGATTTTATCTCATAATTCCTCACTTTAGATTTTATAAAGAAAGTTACCACTTAGTTTTTATCAGAAATAATTAATAATTATATGTAATATACATGGAAATTTAATTCCATGAAATATTAGAATGAATAAATTAAGTTACCACGACAAATGGTTCTAATATATTGAACCGTCAAACAAACGATTCACCATATTCTCAAGAGTTACTGGATCATATTTGATATATTTTGTGGGGGTTTTTGAAAACTCCGATTGTTGATGCCTAATTAATTAGGAATAATTATTAAAATCTTGAAATATAACAAATTCTTAGAAGGAAAATACTCACTTTTCTAAAAAGCGATTATACATCGGTATCAAAACAGCCTTTATATCTTTAATAACTTGAGTACGAAGTTCCAAATCTGGTATGGCATATCCTTTATTAACTTTGCACATTTCGTCAAATTCCGTGTTGAAATTCTAACACAACCAGAGTGACTGGATCAATACATAACACAATGCAAAGTTAACTGTCATGGAAGCAAATAATTAATGTCGTACCTTAAACTTTTCCTTGACATTCTGCTTTTCATTGGAACCCAACGTTGACTTCAAGGTACCTCCGCGCACCATCGTGTAGTCCATAAGATTTCCACAACAAGGTTTCCATCTGATCGACAAACATATAGAAGTTTATGAATTATTACTATAATTATGGGAAACCAAATATAATTAATTCAACTTACGAGTCCTGATAAGCGTCGTTATATTTTTTCACCAATTTTTCATACTTGAACTCGATTTCCGGATCCAACACAGATAAGAATTGAGTTCTTATGGATTTCAGTATATAATGATAGTTATTAAGCAGAAATATGGAGGTCAACGCGGCCTTCTTATATGTTTTGGATTTGCTATCAAGACTTTGCGCTAAACTTTCCAGAACATCAGCTAAAAACAAAAAGACTTGGTAATGAGTGTCTAAGTGGATTACACAAGTAGCTAGTAAAAGTTAATTACCGAAATAATGTCTTATTATGACACTTCCAGATGATGCACGACCGTTCTTATCACGAGAGAAATTTAGATCTTTCTCTGACATACTCCAATTACCATCCCCCAAAGTTAATAACACCGATCCAACTGTCTCGGGATAATCAGCCAAACGTTTTAGATGTTGCAATGTCTTAAAGAGATTATAAATAGTGTCAATAAAAAATCCTCCATGACATCAGCTAGAAACCACTAGAACATACTGTGATTGTTAGTTCATGTACAGTTCCATCATTGGGAAGACCAGAAGTTTTGGTGCGATGACTCTAATAATCGAAAAGATCTGTGATTAAATGAGAATAAATAGGTGTGGTCCTACTTGATCTTACCTTTATTTCTTCCAAAAATTCTGGAAAGGAGCGTAAGGCAACGGCCATCAATGAATGTAAGAGATCTCCATATGATGGGTCCTTTTTTCCTGTGATCTTTTATAAATTAGAAGTATATCTATATCTATTAATTAACACCTAAAAATAGATAACCAAAATTTTTTGAGTAGAAGTATTTAATTACCCTAAAAATTTCATCGAATGTTCCTGAATTTTTATTTAACGTTTCCATCATATCAAAGGCGAGAAAAACATCGGTTTGCATATTCTTTTTCGCACGATTATTTAATATCTTTCCAGTTTCAACGAAATTTTCAAGAGGTCGTTGTATTGTCTCACGGAATCCCGAAGCGACGTATTCCCGTGGAAGCACTTTCTCTGCAACATTGTACTCTGCCTAAATTGACGATGAGTTAGGATCAAATCATTATCGCGAAAAAAATAAAATAAAATAAAAAAGACAACCTGAAACATCTTCAGTAAGGATTCCGTATATGAGTTGAAACCGCAAGTACCTTTTTCATATACAGGTGTGCTTCTTTTTTCGGCCGTACTGATTGATCCTTGGGATGATAAAGTTAATGATTTCACAAGATAATTTGATCTAATATCGACATAATCTTTAACGAAGTCGCTATTATAACCGAATTCCGGACCAGAAGCGACAAGGTAAGTAGCTAATTTCGAAAGAATTTCCAAAGAATCTTGTGGTATACCAGGAATATCTAGATCTGTAGAATGAATGAAACTTAATGTTGATATAGTCCCTCAAACAAATTATTTGATCTTTGCAAAAATTATGACTTACTTTTTGTGATATATGAAAGCGGTTCGATAGGATTACTTCGACTGGTTAGCAATATTCGAAAAATTTCCTCCAGCTGTAACATCGCCGCTTTTAAGATTTGTTTCTGTAAATTTCAAGATGAATAAATATATTTTTCTTAAATCTAAAAATTATTTACTCTTTTTATACCAGTTGGCTTGTGATTTTTTCACTACTTTTCATTCTCATCGTGCTCAAAACTCCCATGGCTTTACTACATTTGTCAATAGACTTTAGGTAGGGTTCCAAATCATCCTCCTTGGGTCTACCAAACATAGATGAAGGAATGGACATGTACGTTATTAAATGGTATTTAAATTTCAAAATATTGGTTGTATTTACCCTTTTTTTATTATCGCCTCTTCCTGTTCAATTAGATCAAAATATCCTATTATTTCGTGAACTCCATTACGAGTTTTATCAACGTCTAAATCCAATTATGGAAAATATTTGAAATCCAATTTTGTTACATTTTCCTTTTACCAACTGAAAAAAGGATACTATCCACCAACTTTGTTAATGTCTGGGTCGATTTATGTATTGGCAATATTGACGCTTCTAACCTCACCAATCGATCATCAAATACATTCAACATGCTAGTCTAACAATGGATTAAAACATATTTGTAAGACCGGGTAAATATTTCTTAATTATTGATTATTCTTAGGTGAAGGAATGAAAGGCTTTTTTTCTATCTAAAATTTTCGGGGTCGTCCAGATCAAATCATTCTTCTGCCAACCTCAGCAAAATCCTCATTTAGTATAGTAATTCGAGGATTCTTTTTGAAGTTAGCCGCGTTGATTTCATCTGACCTTCCAGCCACGATCTCAACCATCGCAAACAATACTTATTACAAATTTGAATAACCAACCATTTTTTCAGTTAGGGCTTGAGTTTTCCTTAGATTCTCTTCTAAAAAATCTAGATCGGCGCTTTCTTCATCTAACCTCTCCATCTTTTAAGAACTATACTGTTTCAATTTTTATGGTAATCTTACATTTATATTTTCTATAATAGGACGATCCAATTTAAAATTTAGTTTTATCGTTTATATGCAATTTTCTTTTTTCTAGCTCATTATTGAATGTTCACATAAATAATAATATGCTTTATTCTTAAATATAATATATTTAATAATACTATTTATTCGATTGTTTTTGATAGAAAACCAAGAAAATTGTTATTTTGTTAATTTAAAATATCGGAATAAGCAATATTTTGAATTCTTAGATTACAATTTCATTATTTTTTATAGTTAAATAAAATAATTAATTTTTATTAATTAATAATTATATAATTTCTTAAAAAAAATCAAAAATTTATAAAATAATATATTTTGTTATTTATAAATTATTGAACTTATTGCTTATATGTCTATAACATAATGATAAAACTTTATAAGTTATTAAAATTTTTTTAAAATTCAAATTTATCCAATTATAAAAGTTATTACTTTTTATAATTAATTAATTAATCTTTAATATATGTTTTATTTAAAAATAATTACAGTAGATTTTATAAATATTAGATTTTAATTTTTTAACAATTATAAAATTGAAACAAATTTGTATATTAGTGAAAAACTATATAAAAAATAATTTTCAATTTCATTATCAATAAAAAATTTATAAATTAATATTGAATTAATAGAATTTAAAAACAAAAATTTTTTAATCTTAAGTTATTTCAATATAATATTTATTTAAAAAAAAAAACTCTTTTCGCTAATCCTTTTATCAACACAAAAAACAAACGTTTCAAGAAAATTTTTATATTTTTTTGTAATAAAATCTATATACTTTTATTAACAACACTCACATTAAGAAACCATAATCTCTTCTACTTGTTTCTTTCTTTCTTTAACATAAACTTCTTGTATTTCTGCAAGTAAATATAAGAAATATTTATAAAGTTAAAGGCAAGAAAACTTTTTTAGAAAAAAAAACCTATAGAAAAAATATACTCCTCTCTTTCTCTAGAGATTTAAGACTCTAGAAAAGATTGATATAGGTTTCTAGAACTCTTCTCTTATCTTCTTCAAGCTTCTCTTTTATCTTTTTAAACATATAAATTTCTTTTCTGATTTTTCTGAAGAATTTTGCTTAACTCAGTTTGACCTTTAATTTTTGGTTATACAGAATCCTTGAATAGTGATTGGCTCAAATTTTGGACTGGCTGATCTATACATAGCAAAAAATGTAAACAAGACATGTAACTCTTACATGTCCTATCTCGTACAACATAAAACCTGATGATGCAATTGGATATAGTAAAAAAAGCAAAGTAATGAAATGTTTTTTTTGTTAAAAAGTGTTATGATGTTCCTTCTCCCCTCTTGGATTGGTTTTTTTTTTCTTTAAAATCAAAAGAAGTCTTATTCCAATCCAGTAACAAGCTTTTTCTGTTGTTAATTATTCTAAAAATGGTTGAAGAAAAGGATCTTGAAATTATTTACTAGTTGAAAGAAGTTATAAATCCTTGAAGATTAAACTGAAAGAAAAATCAACAATCGAAATATTAATTCTCTTTAAAGGTTAGAAGTCTTTAAATATAAAATTTCAAAAATTACTCTCCTGAAAATACCCTTAAATGTTTTTGATCAACAATGAAATAGTAGAAATTAAATAGTTTGCCTAGCTGCAAATAGTGATAAAGGATTTATCCTAATGGATTGAAATTGATATTAGAAGATTTTTATTTATCAGAACAAACTCTTCTATTATCCTTTCAATTCTTCTTTAACTTTTTAAAAAATAAAATTTTTTTTTTATTTCTTAAAATCATAGGTTTGTATTAAGATAATAGTTTAAATATAAACTGGCTATAATTTTTCTCAAGGCCAAAGAGCAGTAGAAAAAAAAAATAAATTAAATTAAAATTAAATTAAAAAAATTTTTTTTTATACTTTTTCTAATATTTAAAAATTTTTTTAAATTTATTTACTTTTTTTTACTTTTTTTTTTCTTGTTTTTTTTTTTTTTTTTTTATTTTTACATTTTATTTATTATTATTATTTTTTTTAATATATTCCTTCTTTTTTTTCTTATTTTTTTTATTTTCTAAAGTTTTTTTTTTTAAAAATCTCTTTTACTTTTTAAAATATTATCTTTTATTTTATTATTTCTTTGATTAATTGACTTTTTTAAAAAAAAAATTATATAAAAAATAATAATTTCTTTCAAGTTATAAATTTTATAAATTTTTTCTCTTCTATAATATTTATAAAAGAATATTCTTTTCAAAATTAATTTAATTATTATTATCAAATTTAATGTTTTTTATTTATTAATAATTAGATTATATCTACATATTTAAGAAACCATTATATAATTATTATTATTTAAATTTTTAGAAGTTGTATTTTACAATATTTAAAATAAATAACAATTAATGTTAATATAGTTAATATTATATCAGATTAGTTATAGATATTATATTTATAGTTTTGAAAATTGAAATTAAACAAACTTATATAAATTTATATAAGATTTAAAACATTATTAAAAATAATAATAAGTTACAATCAAAAAAAAAAAAACTCTTTCCCACTCCCTTTCTACACTTGAAAATTTCCTTTTTAAGAAATTTTTGAGTTGTTACTTTTCTTTCGTCTTCCCTTTTCCCTTTTCTCTATGCCTTTTTCCTATACCTCTTTACTTCCCTTCTCTTATTTTCTCTTCTCTCTTCTATATACTCTTTTTTTACTTTTACCTTTTCCTTCCTTTTTCATCTTTTCTTCCTGCCGAAGCTAGGTTTTTCTTTTTTCCCTGAAGGTTTTCCTCTCTAGGCCTCTTTCCCTTTTGAAAACTCCGTGTCCATAACATCACTCCTCTGACCAGTTGACTTTCTTTTCTCAAGGATCATATTAAGAAGCGATAACCTTTTTTAGGACATGGACCTTGAGAATTTTTCTCTCTTCTATGACTTCTCAGAAAAAGAACGGATGGCTTACCCCTCCAAAAGATCCACATGATCATTATTACCAAACCCAGCATTGTTTACTGATCAGTAGTTAGACTAGATACACTCAAGAAACCTCTGTATAACTATTATTATCCAAAAGTACTCAAGGAGTTACGCCTTACAGTATCCAAAGTGAAATGGCAACCAATACCAATGCAACTAGCAATAAGCTAGGTTAGTTGCAGGTGTCATACTGGTGATTAGGGAACTTAGTAAGGTAATACATGACGACCAGAGATTCTAGTTACCCTCGCAACATGAGCTGATAATGACAATGAAAGTTTTTTGCTTATTCCTCTGACAATGTAGATCTATTGTACAAGGTTAGGTTCTGGTGCCATTAAAAAAACCAATAAGAACTCCACCCATAGGACACTTCTGCCACACTTGAAGCATAGGTGTACCAAATCCTTTTTGTGACTTGGAAGCAAACCTGTATAAAGTGGCTATAGCACCTTCATGCAAAAAGGTATATATTTTTCTCCACCTCCGACACCACTCTGCTTGCTATATATCAAGTCAAATTTGGAAAGCAGGTGTGCCAATCCTAATCATAACTTGGAAGCCAACCTGTATAGATTGGCTGTAGTGCCTTCATGTAATTAGATATTTATTTAATTCCAGGTAGCTAAACACCATTCATAACTAGATATAGATTTTTGAATTTTTTTTTGTCTATATTCCTTGAATGGTACTAAAAGAGTACAGGGTCAGGCCCCATATGGGAGCCTTGTGTTAAACTTTTTCTAGCAAAGAGAGACATATGTCGTACTATTGATTATTGTATCTTATATTGTAAGTGAAAGTATAATAAATATAATAAAGTGTAGGGTTCCGAAAAAGTACCGAACTGGTATTGAACTGGTATCGAAATGGTACCGATCTATAGTAAATTTAATATATAGGTTGTAACCTACTCATATGTTTTTATAGTAAATTTAAGTATCGAACTGATATCGAAGTGGTATCAAAATGATATTGTTAGGAGCCCTAGTCTTCTTAATAGCTGCTAGTATATAGTGGTAGTAGCTAATTAGTTGAATAGGTATCGAATATATGATAGTAACATTAATCTGGTAGTTCCAATCTGTTTGAGTATATTGAAGAATATACTTTTGTAATTGGCCAGACTACTGTTCAAAATATATAGTTGTGATAATAGCATATATCCTTGGTAGTTGATGATACATAATAGTAGTGATTGATTGATTAAATAATTGTTTGAATATAATAGATTTAAGTATGGTGATTATTGATTTGTAAAGTTAGAGTTGTGTTATTATTTTTTAATTGATGATTAATGGAACATATTTGTTGTTTTGGTATTACTTAATAGAATAAGGTCATGTGGTTAAATAGATTTTATTTTTAATATTGTTTACATTAATCTTTGATAGATATAATGGACATGTTTAAATATTTGGTAATGTATGATTGATTGAAGATAAGATGTTAATCGGTTGCCAGGAGAAAACTGATTGCAGTTTTTTGGAAAAAAATTTTTAAATAAGAATTTTTGATTTTTTGTAGTGTAGTAAAATATATTAAGTAATAATAGAAATTGTTTTTTATATATACCAATAGTTCCTAGGCCAGTAATATAAACAAAGTTAATATAAAAGTTTGTGTTTTGAAATGAAATAAAGTCCACCAAATCAAGAACATAAATATTTAAAAGTGTTTGTATATTAATAAGAAGTGTTTTAATAAGAAATATAAATAAAAAAACTCCTAAGGAAAACTTGTAAAGAAGCAATTGTCATGAGTTTTTCCTTATACAATTTAAGAGAAAAGTAAATTCCTCAAGCTTGTTTACTTCTAACTAGAGGTCCCATTTCGATACATCAATATGCTTCTTTAATTTTTTGAGATTTTTGATATTGAAAGTTAAAGAAGTGAGAGGACTTGTGAGTATTGGAAAGCGAAAGAAATATTTTCTCTAATTTTGAAAATTACTATAAAAGGAATTTTTTAATATAAATGTAGTGTATA